AGCCCAGGAAAGCTGCCGCACCAGCTCCCTCTTATCTGAAATGTGTCTGTGGTGCTGACACCCTCCAGCAGCCAACACTGGTGACTTCCCAAAGCAGGAAAAGCCAAACGCTCTCAACGGTTCCCATGACTCAGCTGGCAGGTTCTGATCACCTACAGCCCTATTCTTCTCTAGGCATCCTTCTCCAACGATGGGTGTCTCTGTTGGGGTTTCTATCACTGTGATAAACATCAGGACCAAAACAACACGGGGAGGAAAGGGTTTACATGACTTTATAGCCTGCAGTCCATCAGCCAGGGAAATCAGGGCAGGAACCTGGAGTCAGGAACCGAGGCAGAGGCCATGGAGGAGTTCTGATTACTGGCTTGTTTAGCCTGTTTTCTTATAGCATGCAGGGTGATCAGCCCAGGTGTGTCACCTTGCGCAGTGAACTGGGCCTTCCCACATCCATCACTAATTAAGAAACTATACCAGGGCCCGCCCACAGGACAGTCTGTCAGGGATAGGTATTAGCTACTTTTCTATTGCTGTGAACAAAACATCATGGCCAAGGCAACTATAAAAGTAAATTTTAAAGAAGGCATTTAATAGGGTTTATGGTTTCAGAGGGCTTGCTAGAGTTCATGATGGCAAGCCAAGGCATGGTGGCAAGAATGGCTGAGAGTTCACATCTTGATCCAGGAGGCAGAAGGGGGCACACTAAGAAATCTTTTTGGAACCTCAATGCGGGGGAGGGGGGACAGGGGGGACACATCTCCTCTAACAGGCACACCCTAATCCTTCCCGAACAGTTCCATCAATAGCAACCAAGTATTCAAACAAACCAACCCATTTGGAGCTGGGGGTGTGTGGGTGTATGGGAAGTGGGATGGAGATGTGGGGGGTAATTCTCATTCAGAGAATGACAGGGCATTTTCTTAACTGAGGTTTCCTCTTCCCAAATGACTCTGGTCTGTACCAAGTTGACATGAAACCAGTCAGCACAGGCTGCTTTCTCGGGTTAAGGGAACCAACATCTGTCTTATTTGCATTAGCCAATCTTGGTCTGAGGATCTATTTCCACCGTGGGTCAATAACCAAGTGGCCACACGAGACAACAGTTAATAAGCTCAAGGGAGAACCCAGCAGCTCAGGGTGTCTCTGCCCCTGATGAGGTCCCTATATGTGAGAGCTGAGAAAGAATGACCCCACCCACTGCCCCTCAAATTCATGGCCTCTTTTTCTTTATTATATATACAAATAACTATGTAAATGCAACCCGAGTCTGTTTGATATATTTTCTTTTAAACAGGATTTCACTGCACAGTGAGGCCCAGGCTAGCCTTGAACTTACAGTTCAAGGGCTACACAGTAGCCCAGGCAGATCTAAAACTTGTGATTCTCTTGCCTCTGTGTCCCAAATACTGGGAGTACAGGACTGAACCAATACTCTCAGTTTACTCCCTGGCTTTTAGGGTATGATATGATATGAAGGGTACATTTAACTCCTTCTTAGGAATACTGAGTTGATTTTCCAACATATCCATCTCCTCTCAAAAACCCATAGGCCAAGGTTTTGCCCTGCACTGTGCTGTTTTCCTTGAGAGCTCCTGAGAACTGGTCTACGGCTACAGGTCGACAGCAGGCACGCCCAGTTCTACAGGCACCTTTGCCTTGCTCTTTCTGGTTCATGCACTAAACCACACAGATGCCAACTCAGGACTCATCTTCCAAGGAAATCCCACCTCCTTCAGAAGCTAAGAGGGCAGTAGAGACATCTGAGGGGTAGCACAGTGATTCCTGAGCCAACATCCTCGCAGCTCCTCAGTGGGGTTCATGATGTCTGTGCTTTGGGGTTCATGTTTCCTGCCTCCTGTCTGGTCCTCAGGGTGCCTACAGCCACTGTACACTTCTACCCATGTTTCTATAGATGGAAAAACCCAACCTTCTCACTTTGTGCATCATGCAAAAAGAGGAAGACCCAAGAAGATTGTTTCTTTGGTATTTTTCCTTGGTTTGCATGTTTTCGAAAGGCAGGGTCTTACCCGGGCTAGACTGGCCCTAAACGCCCTATGTAGCCAAGGACTTTGACCTTCTAAACCTCCTGTCTTCACCTCCCAAGTGCTGAGATTTCAGGTGTGTGACCACCATGCCTGGCATTTTTGTTTTTGAGATAGTGTCTTATGCCCAGGCTGGCCTTGAACTCACTACATAGTCCAGTTGGCTTTGAACTTGTGGCTTTCCTGCTGCAGCTTCTTGAGAGCCGAGATTCCAAGCATGAACAACTCTGCCTGGATTTTGATGCTTCTTTCCCACGCAGTGAACATACTGATGGGGTCTGGCTCCTCTCACGCATGAACAGCTTTCCCAGCTGGACTTCCACTCCATTGCCGCAGTTATCACTTTGATGATGATCCCTTAAGACAGCCTCGTCTTCTGTCTCCTTGAGGTCTAAGGACTAAGCCAGGGCCTAAGTCTGCTAGCTTAGAGCAGTGAGTAACCTGAAGGCCCTGGCTTGGGATGAGAACTGGGGGACACAGGCAGGCGATCTTCTTTAGAAGCATGGATAGTCAGAAAAGTATAGGGGATACGTCTACCCCCTGCACTTCGTCAGCTCTAGACATCATGGGGAGACAAGCTCACTGTCACTTGGGCATCCAAGTACTCACAACCACGTGACCTCGGTGACTAGATAGCTCCTGAGGCAGATTCAACCAGGCCCCAAAACTCTTCTGGAGGGCAGTGAGGGGACCCTATACCCATGACCCCTGCATCACTGCCTGGCTTTCTCTTCTGGTGCTCTGCCCTCAAAACAAAACTAACCAAAGAGAGCAGCCTTTCCTCCTCTGCTCCAACTTTGTCTCTGACCACCACGCCATTGCTCTAGAATCGAGGAAGACCGACGCTAATATTCACTGTAACATAAGCTACAATTTCTCCCTGAACAAACTTTTAAGTATCTGGTTTATTAGCTTTGAATCAAGAAATTATAAAAGAGGAGGGGCTTACTCTGAGAAGTGATTACAAACCATGACTGTGGTTTTTCCTCTTTAGCAAAGGCCAGAAAAGCGAGAGGCATCAGAAAACCCTGTTCTGAGAAGGGCGGTTTCTGCCACTGCCTTCTCCTCTCTTGCCCAGAACAGGCAGGCCCTGTTTCACTGGCCCAGAGGGGTCCTTCTTCGCCTCCTCAGCCCCTCCCACTGCCTGCAGAGGGGCTGAAGCAGGGGTGGGCCAGCTTCCCCAGGTTTCACAATGACCCAGTTACTAAGGGAATAGGTTGTTTGCAAACCTTTAAAAGGCTGTTTCCTTTCCCAGTGCTGAGCTGTGTAACTTGATACTGACCTGTCCTGCCGTGTCACAGAGCTGGAGTCTCACAGGCCGCCCATCTACAGACACCACAGCTTGAGGGGGAAAGAAAGAGCAAGATGATTATCTGGACATCTTTCACCCCCTCTGAAGATTGGCAGCTCCTCTCCTGGTCCCTCTTAGTGAACTAAGAGCTTGGCTAAACCCAGTGGAGGTCTTTTTATGTACAAATGTTTCAAGGTGGGGGCTCCCTCCACCACAGAACATGAGGCAGCAAAGCCCTGACCCCTAGAAGGTGCCCCGGAAGGTTAGTGTTTCCCTCTCAAGTCTGGAAGATTAATTTTCCTGTCACCCATGTTTCAAAGGACCTGGAAATAACACAAGGGGGGGGGTTAGGTGGGAACAAACTCTGCAGTTTTAAATCCGTGGAAACCCTCAGAGATAATTCTGTTTTCTCTTGGGAAAAAGTCTCCGGGCTTCAGGGTTTATCATAAAACTCCAGCAGTTTTGAGAACTTGTACAAACACAGGAGGCCTATCACCCTATGTGTGGAAAAGGGCACTCCTCTCTGTCAATTCAAAGAGAGGATTAAAAAGAAAAGCTGGCAGAGGGAAGCCACACAGGTTCTCACCAGGCTCGAGGTGGGGTGAGAGCAAGAACTCCCATCCAGGAAACTCATGGAGGTTTCAGTTTAAATTAGACAATTTGTCTCTTTCTGATAGCCTTTCTGGTTGTTTATAAATGTTTATGCTAGTGGGGAGTGGAGTGTGTGTGGTGATGGGGTGGCGGGGAGGTTACCCCTGTACTTCTGTGTTACCCATGAGGTTTCTGAAATAGAGACAGTCAGGGTCTGGCTATGGAGACTGGAGGTCAGAGGTAAAATTTCTAGAAGCAAGATTTTCACACTAGTTCTTGTGATTTTTTTAAAAAAAAAAAAACTTTTTATTAAATTCCAAAAAGACTTCTAAAAAAATCAAGATAAAGGATTGCTTTACTTTTGTATCTTTGTATGATCCATGAGCCCACCCGTGAGAACTTGCTCAGCTAAGGACAGGCTGGAAGGACTGGGCCAACCGTCAGAAACCTAGACGGCGCAGGCGGGGCTCGGGCCAGGCGGGGCTCGGGCCAGGCAGGCGCCGGGCTCAGAAGAAAGGAACGTTCTCGCAAGCCCAAGCCCTTCCCGGTGCGCCTGGCCGGCTCACCCTCGGGGCAAACCCGGTTGCTCCAGGCGGAGACCCCCTGGAACTGAGCAGCCACGGATGAGGGCGCAGGTGAAAAGAGCACCTGTACAACAGCTCTCTCCTGAATCCCCGAGCCGGGTCGATCGGACACCCCGCCGCCGCCCCGCTGTGCCGGTGCCTGGGGACCCGCGCCACCCCGAGCTCCCGGGCCGGGCTCCCGCGCCTCCCAGCCCGAGGCCGCGCCCCGCTCCGCGCTCACCCGAGAAGTTGTCGAAGGCCGTGGGGATGTACTCGGTGGGGTAGCCGTTGGTGGTATAGCTGACCACCAGGCTGGTCTTGCCCACCGCGCCGTCGCCGACTAGTACGCACTTGACGCCGCGCCCCTCGGCGCCGCCCGCGCGCCCCCGACCCCCGGGCACCCCGGGCCCGCGAGCCCCGCGCCCCCCGCGTTCTCGGCGAGGCGGTACGGGCGGTGCCGCCGGCGGCTCGCAACGGGCGGGCAACGCGGGCCGGCCTTGCTGCGGGGCCATCGCGGGCGGCGGCCGCGAGACCAGCTGCCACCGGCGGACAAAGGCGGCGCGAGGTCCGCACTCTGCTGGGCGACTGTGCCCGCGCGGCCGCGATGTGGCCGAGCCTGCTCCGCCGGGCTTCCCTGCGACACGGGCGGGCGGGGAAAGAGGCGGGTCCGGCTGCACCTTCTGCAATCCGAGACCACAGCGCCCCCGTCTGCGCGCCGTGCCTGTGTACTACGCCGGCCTCTCGAAACGGTACCGCTGGTCGATCTGCCCCCCCACACCAACCCACGCGGACCCTAAGCTATCCCTGCCCCTGCTTCGGATCCTCACCTTTCCCACCCACCTCTCCTGCCTCCTTCCCAAGCTCTCTCAGCCTCTCTTCCTCCCCTTGCTCCTCCAGTTCCCCCAGCCCTGCCCACCCATCCTTACTGTGTTCCCCCATCTCTCCCGGTCCTTTCTCCTCCCTCTGCTCCTTCTCTCCAGTCGCCCCCTATTCTTTTTCTTCTCCACAACCTCCTTCTTGTTCAGATCCCTGTTCTTCCTCGCCCTGTTCCCGCAGCTGCACTTGGTCCCCCACGTAAGTGTCTTGGTTTGGAAGGGTACAGTGCTGTAAGCCCCCACTGGTTCAGCAGTCCCCCAGGAAGAGAGATAAATGTTCTGGCAGCTTGTCCTCTTGATGAGCAGGAGTTAAGTCTGATTACGGACAACTGTATGATTTTTCTTTTAAAATCGTTGGTTCTCATTTGGGTGCAGGGCCCCCCATCCCCCTTTGTTAGTGCTCCCTCTCTTTGGCATGCTGTGACCTTGTATGTACTCATGGTCCAGCAAATTTCCTTACAGTCTTTACTTAAGAGCAATTTGGGCTGCATTAGTGTCGTCTAAAAACAAATAGTTTATCTTCCACTTTCTTTTCTCTGCCCTTTCTGTGCCTAGCCAGGGCTCCAGACTTGCTTCTGGTGTAAGAAGAGCCTTATGCTGTTAACATGAATATTATTTTTGCCAGTAGTAAAGAGAAGTAGTAAAGGCAAGAGCTAGTAAGTATTGAGCCTTGTTATGTACCCGATATTGCGTAACCACTCTGCCAAAACTAATTCCTTCCATTTTACAGTCAGGACAACCTGAAGTACAGAGACACTGGATGACTTGTTTGAGTTCCACATAGGAAATGATGGTGGCAGGCTCGTAACTAGCGTCCCATATGCAAGTTATGCAAGTGAGACTGCCAAAGATGGTGTGGCCATTGGAATACAGAAGTGGGTTTGCCAAGAGATGAGTTTTGTTTTGTTTTTGTTTTTTTTGTTGTTGTTGCTTTTGTTTTTCGAGATAGGGTTGCTCTGTAGCTTTGGAGCCTGTCCTGGAGATCGCTCTGTAGACCAGGCTAGCCTTGAACTCACAGAGATCTGCCTGTCTCTGCCCCCTCACCCGCGGAATGCTGGGATTAAAGCCATGTGCCACCACCACCACCTGCCTAAAAGATCTTTAATACAGGATCCTGGTTGGCAGAAAGCAAGGCCTCAGTACTGTCAGGCCCTATAACGACAATGCAAGCTACTTTCAGGACTGAGGTATAGAAACCTAGGGCCTGACCTAAAACGACCTTAGGAGCCTGGGGAATAAAAAAAAAACCCTCCCCCCACAATCTGAAGAACAAGAACAGGGTGTCTTGGAACTTGATTAGAAGCTTAGGATGCAGTTTCCTGCAGCAGGACAGACTAGGGCAGCAAAAAGGCTGGAAAGTCCGAGTTTCAGACCGTCAGCCCTCTCCTGCCCTGTACCCTTGGGCCACCTGAATTCCTCTGCCCCGGGATTCAAGTAGACAGATTTGAGTGTGCTTTCCAGCTCCTTGATGGTTGACACTACATTAATGCTTTCTTAAGAAAACAAAAACAAAAATCAAAAAAAGTATTGCTGTAATACTAACTTCTGGGCCTGTCTAGCTGCAAGCGTTTGCTTGGTGTTACTGTGAGATCTGACAATATGGGTACATGATACTATGTTTCTGTAAATGTTGCAAAATGTTTCTACTTTAACAATTGTGCGTTAAGCCCCTTATCCGTTTTAAGTCTAAGTCTCGGTCTTCTGGAGTGGCCTTGAAGTAGCTGTGAACATTGGGGGAAGCAAGCCAAGGAAAATTAGGCTGGAGAGTCATTTTGTTTGTGTTTCATGAGACATAGAACCAGGAGGAGAGAGATAAAGGAGGTGGCACGGGACCACTTACTACTGGAAGCATCGGAAGCCAAGAGCTCATGCTGCTGGCATGAACCTGAGCCATTCCTGCTGGTAGGTAGTATACTTCACGTCTCATTTGTGACTGCAGACACTAGCCACACAGGTGTGGGAAGAGTGGCCAAGGCTGAACTGCCACCCTCTGGGAGTCTTGTCAACTTTATCTTTCCTCCGCACTGGAGGATCCAGGAGCAAAGAGCGGTGGAACTTGCGATGGATGGAACCAGGAGTCCCACTGGAGCAGTGCTTTACAACAAAGCAAAACAACAAACAGGCAAACCCACATGCTGGTGGGTTCGGCAAGCTCAAGCCCTGTCTGGTCAAAGTGTCAGGAACACGTCTGCAGGCAGGGGATACAATTGCTAAGTGTTGATCTGAATCCCGGTTTTTGTAAGGCAGCAAGTCTGTAGTTGTCTCACAAAGCACAAAGTCATGTGTGTCTGTGCTCTTCCTACAGGAAATGGATCTGGAACTTGAAGGAGTCAGAGAGTCGGTAGCTAAAAAGTTCGGGGAAAGGAGTATGTGCGATAAAGTTGTGTCAGGTCAGTAAGTCCCATAAAAATACGACATTTTCTGACAATTTTGTTGATGCTTTAGTTATTCATTAGCTTTTAAAACATGTAACTTATTTTTGTGCATTTTTTACTTTAAATACTTAATATTGTATCTGATTTATTGTTCTTAATAGCTCTGGCTGGCCTCAAACTCACAGATCCACCTGCCTCTGCCTCCTGAGTGCTGGTACGAAAGGCCTACACCACCGTGCTCAGCCCAGAATTTTAGTTCTTAAGTTCTGATCTCCACAGGATCCTCTGCCAATTCTGAACATCCCTCCTGGCCCCGAAAGCCCCTTACGACATTTTTATGAAACTGAACTGCGCATGTGCAACCGTGCCCTCATGGCTGATTAGGTTTCTCCAAGCTGCTAGGACCCAGGTTGGTGGTTGTTACCCATGAGGAGACCCTGGTATTGTCTCCTCATGTCCTAGGACACAACCAATACAAGCCCTTAGTCTCCTTGTCCATTTTGATGCTGAGGAGAAAAATGAGAAGAAACAGTCAACATTTTTTTCTTCTTTTCTTTTCTCTCTTTATTTTTTTTTAAGAGAAGATGGGGAAACCATATAAATGACCCCAAGCTGCCATCAGGGCATCCAGTGGTTTTGTGCAAAGTCACAGCTACCAGTGTCATGGAAAAGGATTCCAACACAGGGCCCTTTGTGAGCACTGGCTCCTTACCCACCATCCCCTTGTTTATAATTAGGATTAATAAATCAAGAGCTCTCATTAGAACCATAAAATTCTAAGTGCAAACTCAATCATCAATGTTGACTGGCGGGAAGCATTTCTGAAAGGAAAATGTCTGTATCCTTTTTACTAGTTGGGTAAGATGTGCTGTGTTGCAGTAATAAACTCAGAACTTCATTGCCTAGTTAATTTTTTTGATAGTATAAAATGCACAGCAGCCCTCTAACACAGCATCTTCCCATATGATGACTTGGGGGTTCGGCCCACTCATATCTGTGAATCTCCCTTGGTGATCAATGCATGTCTGTGCCTTTATAAATACATGTAGCAATGAAACAAACCAGCTATCCCAAGCAGTAAAATGCATGTAGTAGCTATAAAACGTATGTTATACCATTCAATCAATAAAGCAATGGATAGGGCTGGGGAGACAGCTCAGTGAATTAATGTGCTTACCACTCAAGTGTGAGAATCGGAGTTCAAACCCCAGGAAAGCCAGATATGCCAGTGGTCACCTGTAACCTCCATGCTGTATGGGTAGAGACAGGCAGATCCCTGAAACTCATTGGCTAGTCAGCCAAGCTAAATCTATGAGCTTCAGGCTCAGCATAAACCTTGTCTCAAAAAATAAATGTGGAAAGCAATCCAGGAAATACTCTCAACATGCATGTCTAGCTTCCAAACACAGGCGCACACATGTGTCTATACCCACTAACCAATTCACATACCACAACGAAAATGAGCAAGCAAAAATGAATCTTCCCACCATGTTCAGAAGTGAAAGAAGCCAGGCAGAGAAAAGTATGAACTGTCTGATGAGGGGAGTGTGAAGCTCAGAGATGAGAGAAACCAGCGATGCTGGATGTTTTCGGGCTTGAGGGAAGTTGTCACATCCAGCATGGACGTGGTCAGGAGGTTCTCATCTGAAAGATGACTTCACCCGGTCTTCATAGTAACGCGTGTGCTCTCTCTACTTCTGGAAACCACATTATATTTCAAAATTGTAGTGGTTAGAAATACTCAAACACGTAAATCATACTAAATGAGACTTTGTGGAGAGATGTTTGCTTTAGGCTGGCACAGGGTGACTCACATGTTGTCCATTCCACGGATTAGACAATCCTCTTATCGTAAACGTTTAATGTGATTTGAGTAACCAAAGCCCTGCTGGTGCAGCGCTATTCCAGGAACGCCTCTCGGAAAGTTCTGCCACACATTATGCGCATATCTAATATTTATTTTCATATGGGCATCATCTTCCACAAGTGTTATTTTAGGTGTTTGGTATTTTAAACCAACCTAACTGGTTCGGCAAGATTATTACAAAAAAAAGTAAATGGCAATTCGTACACATAACTTCCGGCAGAAGAAAATGAAAGCGCTGGGGAGGGTTTGGAGGGACATCAGGTACACAGCCAGAGGAAACACGCTGGGCCTGCAGGCTGCAAAGCAGGCTGAGCAAGCAAGGCACCCAGCCACTCAGCTGGCACCTTTCCTTCCTCGGTTTTGGTTTGTTTTGCTCTTTAGAATCCCTGCTCTGGGTCCTTCCAGCTGTTCCAGCTCATCTATTCACCCCACACATGAGAGGAAGGCTAGTTCCATTGCCTGTGTCTGGGTGGTGTGGGGGGACACCCAGCTGTCTGACCCTCCCTGCCCCACAAAAGAACTCTCTCCCAGACCTTTATAGCAATTGATAGGCTTCCAACTCCTAAACCCTCCGCAGAAACTCCCCGGCAAACACTTTCCAACTGCCAAGCCCTCCAGGATAATAAGAACGCTTAAGAAACTCCTCCTAGTTATTGCAAAACCTTGACCTCCCTTCTCTTTGCAGCCACCATGAAGATAAGAGCAGACCAGTCAGCGATTCCCAGCAACCATGATTGTGGGCCAGAAGTTCTGAGACTCACACTGCCCCACCTCTCCCGGGACTCTCTGTCCCCAACAAATCACTCCTCCAGATGATGGGAATGGAGAGACACCAAAGGATTTCTTTAGGATACCACAGGGTCGCCAGCCCTCCCTGCTGGGTCCTCGGCAACAGAGGGAATGTATAGACACCCAGATGCTGTCTGGTCTGCCCACGTCCACCTCCGAGAAGAAAGCGGAGTCTCCGGTGCCCAGGCCAGTATTCTCGGTTGTGCTTTTCCTCAAAGAATGTCCTCCGAGGCACATCTGCTTCATGTGGACTTTATAGCAGGAGAGAGTTTAGCTGACCGGGGGTCCTAACTCATGAACTGGGATCACTACACGTAAACGAGACTCTTGAGTATAACCTCACTTAGAAGTGAGGCCTTGGCTTCAAGGAGCTGGTAATTATGGAAGTCCAAAGATCCTTGTGAACTAACTGAGATCAGACAGGCCACAGAGGGCCGTGGAAATGTGGAAGGTGAAAGGAAGTCTGGATGGGGACACAGTTGACCTTTCAGGAGAGCAACTGATGGGCGCGATCCTGGGTCCAAACAGACTGCCCCTTCCCAGATAATCCCAAGTGTACGCGTTACAGCCACCGCATCTTCCAAAGCTCGCACGCACAGATTCTGAGCCTGTTATTAGTCCTCCAGTTTTATACACTGAAGACAGCATCTCAGGAAGACTGCTCTCTTTCTTCTTTTTTTTTTATCATTTGAACCAATAATATTTTAATTATGCTGTTATAAATTTTGTATAATAGAATATCAGCACGTTTCCCTTTGAAAATTAGAAAGTTGGATGATCTTGTTTGATCGTTATTCTTTCAACCAAAGAATGAAATTCACAGGCCAATACCTTGAACTTCAACAATTATTGAGAAATTGACCGAACCTAAACGTCCAGTTCCGTCCTCTCTAGCCTTACGTAGGACACAATCCCTTCAATGTGGGGACCACAAATTATCAGTGGAGAAGACTGTTTCTCAGAGAGTGTAGCTCAGGGTTGTTTAGGGTGCCCGAGTGTGCAGCACACAGATTCATGAGTGCAGTCACATGAGTATGGCACAGCAAACGGACCTGGGTGAGATTGTTTATCTCGCCCCAACCCATGTCAGTGAGCGCCTCTGTGAGCCTCTGTGAGGCTGTGCTTAATGCTGCAGAAAACGGAAGTATGACTGCACATCCAAAGTCAATAAAAAAACTTAGCCTCACTGTAGGAAAGCTTCAGAAGCAATGCTCATTGGCCACAGAGTTTCTTCTGATTTTATTTTTTAAATGCTGCATACACGCATGGATACATTCACGTGGATGCTGGTGCGGCTGAAGGCCAGAAGTGTAGGATCCAGAGTTGCTCTGGCCTTCCAGCAGGGTGTGGTGACGCACACCTTTAATCCCAGTACTCGGGAGGCACAGGGTGGCGGATCAGAGAGTCTGAGGCCAGCCTGGTCTACAGAGCGAGTTCCAGCACAGCCAAGGCTACTCAGAGAAACTGGCTCAGAAAACCAAAACCAAACAAACTCGCGTACTCTGCAGAAGTATCGCCTCCTAATATGAGCCATCTCTTCAGCCCAGCTTTTAAACCCTTTAAAATTTGTATTTGTGGGTGTGGTGTGTAGTAGGTGGGAGAATATGTATGCCAGAGCACGCGAATAGAGGTCAGAAGACAACTTTGTGGAGTCAATTCTTTACGTGTACTTTTATGTGGGCTCCCGGGCTCACACTCAGATTGTCAGGCTTATGTGGCAGGTCCCCTTTGTATCAAGATTTTTTATTGGCTGCCAGCTCACAAATGACCACAGAGACATTAATTATGAAAGCTTGGAGTAGCTTAGGCTTCTTTCTAACTGACTCTTTTAAATTAATCCATTCATATTAATTTACATTTTTCCACGTGACTCGTGGCTGTTACCTCTCCTCCTGCCCATCTGTGTCTCCTGGTGTCTCCACTTTTCTTCTCCCCAGAGTCCTCTTCCTCTCTGGAAGTTCTGCCTAACCTCTTCCTGCCTAGCTATTGGCCATTCGGCTCCTTATTAAGCCAATCAGACACATCTTCACAGTGTAAACAAATATCCCGCAACACACTTTATTCACTAAACAATGTCCCCAGCTCTGAACACAGTTTCTAGGATATAGTCTTGACCAGCAGGACTGAGTTATAGCAATTTGCCTGCAGCATCCTAACTGGGTAATGATAATGTGTTGGGCATTTGAGAACCACTATCTTAATTAGGGTTTCTGTTAGCTGTGAAGAGACACCATGACCATAGTTACTCTTATAAAGGAAAACATTTAATTGAGGCTGACTTATAGTTCAGAGGTTTAATCCATTATTGTCATGGAAGGAAGCATGGCAGTACTCAGGCAGACATGGTGCTGGAGAGGTAGCTGGGAGTTTTACATTCAGATCCAAAGGCAACAGGAACAGGGAGTGAGACGCTGGGCCTGGCTTGAGCTTCTGAAACCTCAAAGTCCACCCCCTGTGACACACTTCCTCCTACAAGGCCACACCTACTTCAACAAGGTCACACCTCCAATAATGCCACTCCATATAAGTACATGGAGGTCATTTTTATTCAGACCACCACACTCACTGAGATTTGATTCTAAACGTTCACAAACACACACACACACACACACAAAATTTCAAACATGGTGACTCACACCTGTAATTCCAGCACTCACAAGGATGAGCCAAATGGACTCTTGCAAGTTTGAGGCTAGCCTGGATTATGTAATAAACTCAAGGTCAGCCTGGGCTTTATTGTGGTAACATATGTCCATATCAAGACATCTTGATGTGTAACATGACACTGTAACATTTTGTCAGTTTCACCTTAATGAAACCAGTGGTGGGTGAGAAAAGGGGAATTCTTTTAAATTTGCCATGAGTTTTCCTTTCTTCTCAGGTAGTGGGATGAACTTCTCTGGTTCCCCCATTCAGCCGCATCTTTTTGGCACCCTGGGACGTGGCAGCAAGTACCCAACTTCTTCGTCAAGGAGCTGGTATTCAGAGGTGACATTTGACACAAACAGATGGACAGTGCTGGGAAAGACACCATCACACAGTAGCTGCCCCAGGGCCGTGATGTGGACTTAGGCAGCTCTGCATGCTTGGGAAGGAGGATCCAACTAGGGGAAGAGTTAAGAGCCAGAATCTGACAGCAGGAACTGTCCGTTTGGTCCTGTGACATTGAAGGGAGAGATGCCACCCAGACAAAGAAAAGGTAAGTGGGGACAGGCCATGGTTATGATGGGGTCAATTCAACACAGACCTGGAAGGCTTTGGAACAGATCTGAGAAGTTAGCGTGGCGTGACTTGGGTTGCTGATAGGGAGACTGTAGGGGACAAGGGCAAGAAGAAGCCAGGCTTGGGACCTGCCTTGAAGGTAGAGCAAGCAAGACCCCCCCTGGTTCCACGGGTCTTGGATTTGCGCACACTCAGGAGTGGTAAGGACAGTGGCCTGATAAACTGAAGCAATTGGCGTCTGAGACAAGGAAGACGTCAACAAACAGTTTGCGGGGGCAATTCAGAACTTGCCTTGCACATTCAAAGTCTGGTAGTCCAGGGGGTGCTTTGTTGGATATGTTGACCAGACAGACGTCATACACAGGAGTCCGGAGTTCAGAGAAAACGTGGTGACCGATGTAAATTAAGTTTCATCAGCTGATCAACAAACATGGAGAAGGGAGACTGAGAACTGGATTCCAGGTTAAATAAGAGGATCGATTCATTGAGCATGACCAGATATCAGACACTGACTAGACAAACACGAGGAAAACCCCAGCCCAGGCCTCCACGGTAGAGGACTACCAGCACTAAGACCCAACACCCAGTCGCAGACCGCTGAAGCCATCCCTGTCTCCTGTGTTCACACTATGGGCAGCAATAAACCTGCTACAGCACTAGCTTGGTCCTGCTGTAAGAGCAGCACCGCCTATCCTGCCGCCGATTGCTTCATAATCGGGGCGTGGCAAGGAACAGAACAATGCCCATGGGAACACGAGGTGTGGGTGCCTGTGGGTGAGCCCAAGCTGAGCACCTGGGTTCTTCCTGTGTCCACGTGCCTGCTGACCGTGGACATTGCCCTTGGCTGAGCCAGTCAGCAGACCTGCTGGAGCTGGCTCCGCCCAACACAGCCCCTACTCTCCAGAGCTCTTCTCAGGAGACTGGAAGCACAGCCAATGGGGTGCACAGAAGAATCTGTCAGTTCTCAGCTTTGACTGGGAGTGAAGGGGCTGGAGAGATGGCTCAGTGGTTAAGAGCATTGCCTGCTCTTCCAAAGGTCCCGAGTTCAATTCCTGGAGTGAAATGCCATCCAGGTAGCTTGTTCCTGCCTGAAGAAGGAAAATGTCTACCTGGATCCTGAAATTACAGATGAAGCTCTTAGGCTTACTTTTTACTCTTAGACTGATAAAAAAAAAAAAAAAAAAAAAGCCTAGTGGTGTTGGCTCACGACTCACATCTTTGATCCCAACTCGGGTGGGTGGATCTTGGAGTTCAAGGCTAGCCTGCTCTACAAAGCAAGTTCCAGAACAGCCAGAAACACAGAGAAACCTTAGAAACCTTGTCTTGAAAAAACATGTGTGTGGTGTGTGTGTGTGTGTGTGTGTGTGTGTGTGTGAGAGAGAGAGAGAGAGAGAGAGAGAGAGAGAGAGAGAGAGAGAGAGAGAGGTGATGACAGAGCCCTATGCCCACCGGGTACCATCTCTACTCAGCTCCTCAGATGTTTGTGCAGTCTGACTTAGTCTGAGAAATGGTCCCTGGGAAATGGTTGTGTGGGATTCTATCTCAATACTCAGCTTTTAAGACTATGTAGCTTAAGAAGACATGATGTTCACAAAGGAAGATAACCCAGACAAAGGGACTTGTGTGTTTGTCCTGGCATACCCTGCTGGTGAGTGGCACAGAACCATGACCTTCCTCTTGTGTCCAGTGCCTCTCCGACCCTGAATAAAGTTTCCAGATGACTGTCCAGATTCATGGCTGCTGGTTGGTTCCAGCACAAGAACCGGGTTAAACTGAGAAGAGTCCAGACTATCGCTCCTGTTGACAGAGGCGGTCATCTCAGTAAGGCACCCGCCTCTGATAAGATTCTTTTAATGAGAGATGGCTCAGTGGTTCAGAACAGAGGACCCGGGTTCAATTCTTAGTACCCACATGATGTGTAGCTCCACTGTGTGCAACTCCACTGTGTGCAACTCCACTTCCAGAAGACAGTGCTCTCCTCTGGCTTTAGCTACACCAGGCACACGTGGTTCACAAACACGCTTGCAAACAAAACTCTCATACATACAAAGGAAATAAATTAATTAAATTTTTAAAAAGACCCTTTCAGAAAAGTTGAGCATCAACTTTTCCCTCTGCTGATGCCCAAGAGTGGCTCCAGTTTAAGTCTCAGAAAATGGCTCTGACACAGTGCCCCCTTGTGGGGACTCATAAAAATGAGGCTTGCAGTAAACAGTTGAGGTTTCTCTCCGGCTGCCTAGCCTCTCCAGGTTGACGTACGTCTAGGGATATCTGCACAAAAGTGACACCAAGAGACCACACAGCCACAGAGGACAGGAGAAGTCATTTTGGCTCCGGGGACAGTTACACAGAGCCTTTACCCTGTGTGCAGGCTAAACACAGAGAGTTACCCCGTGCCACGACTTTCTGACTCTGTCCCCACACAGAGCTTTGTGCAGCTCTGCAGTAGGAGACAGGAAGGCTGGAGGGTTGTCGCAGCGGCCAAACCACAGCACCCTTTCAAACCGGGCACATCAAACATGGATTTCTGACGATGTAGAGATCCGAAACCTTTGTTCTGGAATTCTCTGGGGGAAGCCATGCTCTCTGTCCGGCGCCTGCAGGGGCTGGTTCTTGGCTCCTGTCCCTCCCTCCAGCTCTGAGTGCAGTCTGATCATAGGTCCTGGCCCAGCCCTGGAGATGGGCAGCCTCGGCCTTCTCATCTCGGAGAGGAGCGTGAAAATTAGGTCATTCTGTCGAAGGAGAGCTGGAATGTTCTCATGAGGAGACGGTGAAGATACTGCTTTCTTCTTAACATCATCTCCTGATAGATTCCAGGCTGTGCTTCAAGGAAGAAGAAACAGAAAACTCCAGGAGGGGAAAAATGAACTTCTCAAAAGTATTATAAATCTCAAAGAAGTTACTTCTACCCTGAATCACACCAACTCATTGGAAAGAGCACTCTTCCAGAGCGGTGAGTAGGTGATCTGCAAAGAGACATGGGTAAGAGCTCAGGAAATTCTGGAGGCTTCAACATACCGCAGAGAACAGGACAGAGCCAGTGAGCAAAAAACAACGCAGCGGCATCTGGAGACCCCACTGAGCTGAAAATGTTTCTCAAGAAAATAAAAGGTAAGACGACAAAAATGACAGCGATTGTTCAGGAAATCACAAATCAAGTTACGAAGAAAATCTCAACAGAAATATTACAATCCAGCCTTTGCTCGCCGTGTAATAAACCTGGAAACTGCTAACAACTAAAACCAAGAATCCGAGGCTGGAGAGATGGATTGCTGGCTAACGGTCCATACTGCTCTTCTGAAGAACCTGAGTTCAATTCCCAGCACCCACTTCAGGGAGCTCATAACAGTCTGTAACTGGCTCCAGAAGATCCGGCGCCCCCTTCTGGTCTACTCAGGCACTACACTCCCATGCATAAACACATATAGACAAACACACATACACATAATTAAAAAAATAACAACCAACTATTCAAAACACCAAGCACACATAAACGTTGTTACAGGTAGAAACGTGAAGGCTGCTACCAAGGACTCGTGGACAAAAGAGGAAAGATAAAGTTAGAAAACCTCTGTAACACAGTGGTGGGGAGACCTTAGCAGCAGGGTGGACAGAGTGCAACTGATGAAAGGGATCGTCTTGAACTCTTCGTAGTGGGATACGGGATGTCACTGGGAATGGACTTTGAGGTTTCAAAAGCCCATGGCAGGCCTAGGGTGTCTCTCTTCCTGCTGCCTGCAGATCAAGCTGCAAAGCTCTCAGCTACTGTTCCAATGCTGTGTGTGTCTGCTTCCTGCCACGATGACCATGGGCTAACCCCCTAAAATTATGAGCAAGCCCCCAATCAGATGCTTTCTTTGATAAGAGCTGCCTTGGTCATGGTGACTCTTTACAGCACTAGAGCGGTGGCTAAGACAGTGAGTGTGTATGGGTTATATGGTCAACATTATGTTTAAAATGTCCAGACTGCTATGCTTAAGAGATCCGTGAGAAAACTGTTTCAACGTGTAAGTTTCTAGCTTCTAAAACTTGCCCTGTCTTCTAACTTGTCCAAGATGGACGACTTCCCAGATTATTTGGGCTATTCCTGAAACTGCCTAGTCTTGTACGTTTTTAACTGCCTCTGCTGTTCTTTAAGATAACAGGCTACAAAAAAAAAAAAAAAAAGATAACAGGCTACAAGCTTAGCCACTTGTTCTGCTTCTGTAGGAAAATGCTGGCTTGCTCACTTCTGAGACATCTGTAGGACATCTGTTACCAAAGTTTGCTCTTTAGCCAGGCATGGTAGCATACGCCTTTAATCCCAGCACTTGGGAGGCAGAGGCAGGCTGATCTCTGTGAGTTCTAGGCCATCCTGGTCTGGTGTGGGAAGCCCTTCTGTATATGTGTTGTTTTTATTAGTTAATGAATAAAGCTGTTTTGACCAGTGGCTTAGCAAAATAGACTTAGGTGGAAAAACTAAACAGAATGCTGGGAGAAAGAAGGCAGAGTCAATGAGAAGCCATGGAGCTGCCAGAGGAGAAAGATGCAAGCTGCCAACTGGAACCTTGATGGTAGGCCACGGGCCTCATGGTAAAATATAAAATAATAGAAATAGGTTAATTTAAAATATAAGAGTTAGTCAGAAATACGCTTAAACTATTGGCCAAACAGTATTGCAAATAAAATAGTTTCTGTGTGATTATTTTGGGAGTCTGGGTGGCCAGGAAATGAACAAGTAGCCTCTGCCAACACTGGTCTACAAAGTGAGGTCCAGGACAACCAGGGTTGTTACACGGAGAAACTCTGTCTCAAAAAACAATTAAAAAAAAAAAAAGGTTAAGCTCTACCTGCATGTAGGCAGGATATGTATTAACTTGACCCCAAATGTGGTTTTGCCTTTATAAACCCCAACTAACAATAGCTCAGGGGTCATACTTATAGAATTCCAATTCTCAGATGTGGTCCTGGTGCTAGAAATAAAAAGCATCTTCTTTGTTAATATTATTCCTAGTCAGACTGGTGAATCTCTAAAAGATCGCAGACCCATAACACTGTCTAGATATGCATATGGAGATCAGAGAACAACTTACAGATGATAGGTATATAGCCCTGGTTGTTTTCACCATGTAGTCTTAGCTGGCCTGAATTTAATATGTAGACCAGGCTAGCCTCCAACTCACAGTTTCTGCCTCCCAAGTGCTAGGATTAAAGGTGTGTGCTACTGTACCTAAAAATGATATTTTTTTTTCTTTAGAGACAGGGTTTCTCTGTGTAACAGCCTTGGCTGTTCTGGAACTCCCTCTGAAGACCAGCCTGGTCTCAAACTCATAGAGATTGACCCACCTCTGCCTCCCAAGTGCTGTGATTGAAGGCATGCGCCACCACCACCTGGCCTGAAAGTATTTCTGCTAAGATTAGAAGCTGTCACCTGAAAGTTCTTCCGGAAGCATAAGCCACGCCTTTAAACAAGAAGGGGAAGCAACAGACGGGGTGCCGTGAGAAGTGCAAAGACGCCAAACCGTTGGACAAGATCACAGGTCTGTAAAATTCTCGATGACGAACGATCAAGCTGACTCAAGCAGTAAAATAATCCAGCAAATCACCAGACTATAGGCCACCATAAGCATACAAACAGCTTCCACACACACAAACAATAGCCAGCTAGCTAGCAAAACTGTAGTGAAAATCTATTTACAGCAGCAGCAGAGAAGAGAAACTGTCCCAGAGTAAATGAAATCCAGAGACGCACAAAACCACTATGAGGAAAACATTTTTAAAACTCCTCAAAAGATCTAAAGAGGAATGTGAAGGGTGATGTCATTCGTCCCGATTTAAGAGGACTGGCAACAGAAAGATGTAGCGCTTCCTAGGTTATTTTATTAACGAGGGTTTTTTTGTTTGGTTTGGTTTTAGTTTTTGGTTTTCTTGGGAGGGGTTTTTTTTTTTTTTTTATTTTGGTAAGACAATCCCAATGGGAATGCCAACAAAGCTTATTGTTTTTGGAGCTAGACGAGTTTATGCTAAGCCATGCAGAAATAATAAATATGCAAGAACAGACGGGACGCTCAGAAAGCTACATGGGAAACTAACGGTGCCAAATATTAAAACATGGTTCACAGTTCCTTGAATTAGAACAGTGTATCTCTGACACACTCATAGTCAGACTGATCGTAGGAAAGGACACAGTTAGGGAGCAGGCCCTATGAAGTTAGGAGCAGGCCCTATGCAGTTAGGAGCAGGCCCTATGCAGTTAGGAGCAGGCCCTATGCAGTTAGGAGCAGGCCCTATGCAGTTAGGAGCAGGCCCTATGCAGTTAGGGAGCAGGCTCTATGCAGTTAGGGAGCAGGCCCTATGCAGGTAGGGAGCAGGCTCTATGCAGGTAGGGAGCAGGCTCTATGCAGTTAGGAGCAGGCCCTATGCAGTTAGGGAGCAGGCCCTATGCAGTTAGGGAGCAGGCTCTATGCAGTTAGGGAGCAGGCCCTATGCAGGTAGGGAGCAGGCTCTATGCAGATAGGGAGCAGGTTCTATGCAGTTAGGAGCAGGCCCTAGGCAGTTAGGGAGCAGGCCCTATGTAGGTAGGGAGCAGGCTCTATTCAGTTAGGAGCAGGCTCTACGCAGGTAGGGAGCAGGCTCTATGCAGTTAGGGAGCAGGCCCTACAGACATTTATTCCTGCCAGTGGAGAAAAAGAACAGCTTTTCAGTAAACAGTGCTGAGACAACCAACTGTCATTTGGAAAAAGGTAGATCCTGATGGTATACTATACACAAGAATAACTTCCCAATCAATCAGGAGACTCAGAAACCAGCAAAGAAAATGGCTGAACCTCTCTTTAAGCTGTGTATAGGTGAAAATGCTAATTAACTTTGGAACACAATATTTGAAGTATGTGTCCTAGATTATAGTAAGAATGGCGTTCTAGGGGCAGGAGAGATTAGGAGCCCAGTGATTAGGAGCACTGGCTGTTCTTCCCCTGTAGTCAGATTGATGACTACCTTAGTTGTCATCATAAACCTTCAACCAGCAACTGATGGAAGCAGATAGATCTACAGAGAAGCATCGGGGCGAACTACCTAGGACCAGCCCAAGAGAGGGAGGAGTGATGATACAAAGGGGTCAAGACCATGATGGAGACACCCACAGAAACAGCTGACCTGAGCTAGTGGGAGCTCACTGACTGTAGACTGATAGCAGGGGGACCTGAATAAGACCACAGTAGGCCCTCTGAATGTGGGGGACAGTTGTGAGGCTTGGGCAGTCTGTGTGGCCACCGGCAGTGGGACCAGGATTCATCCCTAGTGCTTGAACTGGCGTCTAGGAGCTCATTCTTTTTGAGAGATGCCTTGCCTCGCAGTGAAGGGTCAGACTTTGTTGACTCCCCATGGGAAGCCTTACCCCTTCTGAGGACTGGATGGAGGCATGGTGTTGAGGGAAGGTGGGGGAAGTGGGAGGAGGAGGGGAGAGAGTGGGAACAGGGATAGCTATACAAAATGATAAAAGATTGTATTTAAAAAATCATTATTAAAAAAGGAAAAAAAGAAAAATAGTCTATATGTTCAAGAAGTAAAGAAGTATGAGCATATTAAAGACATGGAAAAAAAGGAAGACAACTTGTGTAGTTGGACTTTCCTTTATGGGACCCCCAGCCTGTAAATAATGATACAGAGGCTTATTATTAATTATGGAAGCTTGGCTTTAGCGTAGGCTTTTCCCTAACTAGTTCCTATAACTTAAGTTAATCTGCTTTTATTAATCTGTGTTCTGCCATGAGGCTCAGTATGGCATGTCCACCTTGCTCCTTTCTTCTTTCCAGAGTTTTCTTCCCACCTGGAAGTCTCACCTAACCTCTTCTGCCTAGCTATTGGCTGTTCAACTTTTTATTACACCAACCACAGAAACACATCTTCACACAGTGTACAAATACCCCACAACATTTCCCCCTTTTGCCTAAATAAAAAAATGTTTTAACTCCAGCATAGTAAAACTATATACAATAAGAACAATTATCAGGTAAGAATTATACTCACAATGTCCAGTCCATTTGTATTTGGCAAAACTGGAGGAAGTACTCTGTTATCTACCATACCTTGATGAGTTCAAAGTTTATAACTAAACCATTTTCTATCATAATTTGTAATAACAGCCCAAAAATATCTTTTTAGACCTTTAAATATTCTTATATAAACAACTTAAACTTTTATGTCTCTTAACCTTATATATTTTATACCTCTTTTATGAGTTTCTGTTCTGAATTCGGTGATAAGGAAAACTGTAACTATAACTATCTAGGCTTCAACCTTATCTTATTTATGGTTTCTATTGCTGCAATAAAGCACCATGACCAAAGAGCAACCTGGGGAGGAAAGGGTTTACTAGACTTACACTTCATTATTACTGTTCATCACTGAAGGAAATCAAGACAGGAACTCAAAACAGGGCAGAATCCCAGAAGCAGGAGCTGATGCAGAAGCCATGGAGGGGAACTGTTTTATGACTTGATTCCCCTGGCTTGCTTTTTATAGAACCCAGGACCAGAAACCCAGAGATGGCACACCCATCAGGGACTGAGTCCCCCCTTCATTGATCACTAATTGAGAAAATGTCTTACAGCTGGATCTCACAGAGGCATTTCCTCAACTGATGCTCCTTTCTCTGATGACTGTACCTTGTGTCAAGTGTCACAAAACCACCTAGTACAAACCCATCAGAGATCCAAGAAGGATATAATGTTACCTGAGTTAAGAGGAACTATGAGCAAGCAACTTCCAAAACTGTAGAAGTGACAGAGACATCTGACTGCCTAGACAGTCACCAAGTTTCCTCTGAAACATTGGGGCATCCATCCTTGGCCTCCAGCCCAGATTGTCTGCCAGACTTTTCTCTGAAGCAGGAATTTTTAAAGGACTGTCCTATCTTGTCTTGGAAAAGTTTGGTAGTTGCAATCTTTATCAACCAGCTAAAAATTAATCGCTAATATGAAATTAGGACAGAACTTTTGTTCATCTGGGTTTTTGTTTTGTTTTGTTTTTGTTTGTTTTTTGAGACAGAGTTTCTCTGTGTAGCCCCGATTGTCCTGGAACTCCCTCTGTAGACCAGTCTGCCCTCGAACTCACAGAGATCCGCTTGCCTCTGCCTCCCAAGTGCTGGGATTAAAGGCGTGTGCCATCATGCCTGGCTAAAGACTTTCCTCCCCCAGCTTCAACCATTCTAGCTGGAGTTTGACTCACTTCAAACATGACACTGTCAGCATCAGCTTGTGGGGAGTCAACCTAGGCCTCAGGTAGGTTCTTTACGGGCACTGAGGAGAGGGGTAGGGTACAAAGCAGGAAGGTCTGTGATATTTCACTGGACAGGGAGGAGTAAGGCAGGGCATAACAGAAGCAGAGAACCACAGGCGGATCCAGTGTATCACTGATTTCAGCTCTCGGGAGACGGAGGCAGGGGGACCCTGAGACTGAGGACAGCTTGGACTACAAAGAGACCTTGAGGAGGAAAAGGGCCTTAATTCTTAATAGTTGTTTTATTTTTAGTGTGTTTGATTAGAGCTATGTCTATCTGGGTGTTGCTAGGTGCACATGACCACAGGTGCTCACAGAGGCAACGCATGTTAGATGCCCCTGGAGCTGAGTTCCAGGTGACTGTGAGCTGCCTGAGACTGGTCCTGGGAACTGAACTCAGGTCGTCTGGAAGGACAGTCCATGCACTGAGCTGCTGGACCATTGCCTCAGCCCTTAGTAATTGAGACACACATGGGGCTCCTCAGGGTGTCAGGAATTTCATTTTTTAAATCCTGGGGGGGAGGGGGAGGGAGAGAGACAGAGAGAGACAGAGAGTTTACGTGCCCTGTGTGTGAGTGCAGGGTCTTGCCAGGCAGAAGAGGGCACTGGACTCCCTGGAGTTACAGAGAGTTGTGAGCCACCATGTGGTTGCTGGGAATTGAACCCCGGTCCTGTGGAAGAGCAGCCGGTGCTCTTAACATCTGAGCCATCTCTCCGGCCCCAAGGGGGCTGTATTCTTCTTGTCTGCCAGCCTCGGTGCTTGCTTCCGGAATCTGAATTTAAAGTATCCCGGGCATCATGTGACTGAGCACATCCAGAACTGTGCTGTGCAAGCCGTTGGTTCACATCTCAGGCCATGATCACACCTAAACTACTTATGGTTTAAAGCAACCCTAGAATGCTTTAAGGACTCATGTAATCCAAAGGACTTTGTGACCACGTCGAGCTTGTACTTACTGGGTGCTCACCCTAATCTTGCCAAGTACCATAAACTCTGGATAAAGTGATTAGAGACTTCCGGTCCTTCAACCCTTGTGTTGGCTTTGCTAGTGTTTGGACAGTTGTCTCAGAGGGCAGCTCTGCTGTTTGGGATGAATTCTACCAGCTACTGTTCCGTACTGTAACCTGTAAAATGCACACCACAAGATCTGAGCATGGGTGTTAACGGCAGCTCCGTTCATAGTGGTCAAAACTTGAAGCAACCAAAATGGCCTTCAGTACGTAAATGAAAATTACCCTGCGGTCTTTCCAGATGGTGGAACAGAACTCAGTGCTAAAACAAAATGAGCTATTGAGCCATGAGGACCTCAAGTGCATGTTACTGAATGAAAGAAGTCACCTGAAATGGACAGACAGCACAGTTCCCACTGTGTGACCTTCTAGGACGCAGTTGCCAAGAGTAGAGTTGGGAGGATGGGGAAAGTTGAGCAGGAACAGTGAATCACAGTGGACTCTTGGGGCAGTAAGCCTATTCCATGCCAAGCTACGTCATGGTGATAATAACAAACTATACCACTACAAATCTATAAAACCCCAGATGATGTTCAGCCCCAAGAGTGGTTCCCTCCTCTCTGCGAACTGTGAGCTCTGAGAAGAGACAAGGAGGCAATGAAGGCTGGTAGCTTTCCAACACGACTGACTGGGCAGGTGTGAAGCAGGGAGCAGGAGGATCGGGCACATGTGACATCTCTCACCTTCTCTTAAGGAGCCTAAAAAGGCTCTCAGAAGCTTAGCTAGGAGGCAGAGGCAGGCGGATGTCTGTGAGTTCGAGGCCAGCCTGGTCTATAGAGTGGATTCTAGGACAGCTAGGGTTACACAGATAAACACTGTCTCAAAAAAGCAAAAAAGGGAAAAAGCTTGGTTTTTCATGTTTAGATCCTTAAGTTTCTTTTCATAATCTAACTTTCATATGACTAATTTAAGTCCTTTATAATTTTGAGAACATTATTAAATTATAGGATAAAATCATAAATTTTTTATTTAAATACTATATAATATGTTCTTTTAAAAAATAATCTTTAAAAAGCTGGGCAGAGCCTTTAATCCCAGCACTTGGGAGGCAGAGGCAGGCGGATCTCTGTGATGCTGCTTAAGTGTGATGATTTAAGTGTGATGATTTAAGTGTTGCTTTTGAAAAAGACACCTTCCACTCCCAGCTTCTCCAAAGTGCTGTATTCGCTGCTGCCAGCCCCCTTCTTACACCAGCAGAGAAAATCAACCTGTGCAAGTGACTGGGGTAGCAGAACCAGTGCGCGATTTGGATGGTTGTAAGGGAAAAGGAAATGCCAACCTCAGTTCCCCCGAGTGTTTGTAAACAGCATTGGATATCAGTGCACATAGCTAGGCTCAGGGAAGCTAGTTCATGAAATAGCTCAGAGCACTGCTGGTCAGCGGGAAGACTTGGAGGGAAGACAGAGCTCAGGATGCTGCAATTCTCCATGTCTTCCCCTGCTTCCGCCACAGCAGGCAGTCAGGACAAAGGAAGAAGGAAAGTAAAAAATAAAATAGAACCTAATGCTAAGGGAGCCCCCAAACCCTAGCAAGCTGCTCTGCCTCTAGAAACTGAATTTCTTGGCCCACAGACAGCCAGGTCGCAATGCCCCTGTAGGAAGAAGTTATAGAAGGAGTCAAGGGTCTGTCACACTAGAGAGAAAGACTGTTTTTCTAGAGAGCACTTTAGCAACGGCGCCTTCCACAGAAGCCATGAGAGGTGGTGGGGAGCGGAACATGACGGCCGCTGTGTTACAGTCTCAGTGTCCAGATGCGCCCTTCTGAACCCTTGGTATCTGCTGATGGACGGTGGACGGGATCCCTGCTCTTGTGCATCCTCTGTCCTGTGAGGGGGAGAGAGGAAGACAACACTTATTATCAGGAGGGAAGAGTCCCGAGAAAAGGGAGGGGAGGGAGGAAGAGAGGCCAAGAGTGGAGAAGGGGCGTGTTGGAAATGAAATACACTTTTTTTTTTAAGATTTATTTATTATGTATACAACATTCTGCCTCGATGTATGCCTGCACGCCAGAGGAGGGCGCCAGATCTCAGTACAGATGGTTATGAGCCACCATGTGGTTGCTGGGAATTGAACTCAGGATCTCTGGAAGAGCAGCCAGTGCTCTTAACCGCTGAGGCATCTCTCCAGCCCTGAAATACACTTTTACAGAAATCAAAGCATGAGAAGGAAGAGGCCGGAGGGGCAAGTGCAGCCCCCAGGGGAGTTGGCAGTTCTATCGCCCTCATCTCTGCTTTTTTTTTCTTTAATAGTAAACAGTGGTTCATTCAAGCAGAAAACAACTGAGTGCCCTCTCAGTCGGTCAGCTCTTTTGCATTTCCTATCATTAAAATGCCTTTTGCTGGGCTGGAGAGATGGCTCAGTGGTTAAAAGCACTGCCTGCTTTTCCAGAGGTCCTGAGTTCAATTCCCAGCAACCACATGGTGGCTCACAACCACCTGTAATGAGATCTGGCGCCCTCTTCTGGGGTGTGGGCATACAAGGAGGCAGAATGTTGTATACATAATAAATAAATAAATATCTTAATAATAATAAATGAGTTAATTTTTTAAAAAAATGGCTTTTGCTTGTTGGTTGTGATTATTATATTAGGAACTCGCATTTTCGAGAGATGTGGCTGCAATGGCAACATGCGGACACTAGAGGGTGCAATGCTCCCATGCCAACGACTACTACCTTTTCCACAAAGCATCTGCTCCAAAGGCCCGGGCTCTGGGCACCGGCACAATTTAACACTGGCTGTTATTATGCCCACCAGGCTTCCTCCATGCCAGAGCCTGCTGCAATGCCTGCTGTTCTTATTCCTTCCGGAACAACTGAAAATAAATTAAGATACAAACAGCTAGGTCAAGAAGCCCACAAGGTGAGGTCGGTGGCGGGTGGGGGGTGGGATAGGACTAAAGCTCCTGCGGAGGTGGGGCACTCTCTGGCTTGTTAGTATTCTCATCAGCATGAAGGCTCTCCAAATTAACTGGCCAGAGATCTCTGAGGCTCCACTGCGCAGGTATGAGTGATTACACCATCGACTATTAGCTGGTACCGCTCTCATCACAAGGTTGACTTCTCTGGCAATCAGGTCCCATCTGAAGCTACTTCAGGGTCCCCATAAATCACTGGATCACAGGTTGTGCTGGTACAGTTGAAAGAGGCTTGTTACAACCAACCAAAGTCTATCAGCTCAGGAACTTCCAAGGGTATAGGAAGTTCTGGGCCAGGAAATGGCGGGGGGGGGGGGGGGGGGGGGGGGNNNNGCGGGGGGGGGGCGGGGGGGGGGGGGGGGGGGGGGGGGGGGGGGGGGGGGGGGGGGGGGGGGGGGGGGGGGGGGGGGGGGGGAAGAGCACAAATATTTACTTTTTATTATCTGACAATAACATAGTAACAGTTTACTTGCCACTATTTTGAATTGTCCAGTAAAGTGAAGGTCCGTAAAGTAAAACTTATTGTTAACTTTATTGCTTTATTAAAAATAGTATAAGCCGGCAGCCCTCGGAGATCCCGTGGATCTGTGTCTTGCTTCAACAGTGCTTGAGCAGAACAGACCCAGGGCCTCTCTTTGTTAGCTTCCACCGCTCCTCATCCTCTGCAGTCGCAGCCTCTGGGACCATCTTCTGGCCGCCTTCAGCTCCCAGGACCAGCCAGCACCGTCTCTTTGCCGGTGGCTCCAGACTGAGTCTCAGCCATGACCTCCCAGAAGCTGCCGTGAACCGCCTGGTCAACCTGCACCTGCGGGCCTCCTACACCGACCTCTCTCTGGGCTACTATTTCGATCCGGATGATGCGGTTCTGGAGGGTGTAGGCCACTTCCTCAAATTGGCTGAGAAGCGCGAGGGTGCTGAGCGTCTCTTCAAGTTGCAGAACGATCGCGGAGGCCGTGCACTCTTTCAGGATGTGCAGAAGCCCTCTCAAGATGAGTGGGGTAAAACCCAGGAGGTCATGGAAGCTGCCCTGGCCTTGGAGAAGAACTTGAACCAGGCCCTCTTGGATCTTCATTCCCGGGGCTCTGCCCGCACAGATCCTCATCTCTGTGACTTCCTCGAAAACCACTTCCTGGATGAGGAGGTGAAGGTCAACAAGAAGATGGGCAACCACCTGGCCAACCTCCGCAGGTTGGCTGCTGAGCCCCAGGCGTCTCTGAGCCAGTACCTCTTTGAGCAGCTCACTCTCAAGCATGACTAGGAGGCCTCTGCCTCAGAGGGGCTCCCACCTCTGCTCTGCACCAGCCGGCTCAGGACCTTCACCCGAACCTCTCAAGAAGTCACTAGGCAGCTTTGCAACGCCCTGGAGCCCCTCTCAAGTCTTGGACCAAGTAAAAATAAAGCCTTTTGAAACAGCAAGAACAACAACAATAATAAAATAGTATAAACCTGGTGCGGTGGTGGTGCACACCTTTAATCCCAGCACTGAGGAGGCAGGGCAGATCTCTGTGTGTTTGAGGTCAGCCCTGATCTACAAAACGAGTTCCAGGATAGCTATGGTTCTGTTACACAGAGAAATCCTCTCTCTCTCTCTCTCTCTCTCTCTCTCTCTCTCTCTCTCTCTCTCTTTTTAAAAGAAAAGAAAAAGAAAGGAAGGAAGAAAAGAAGGAGGGAAGGAAGGAAGGGAGCATAAAAGTGAATAACCTCTATAACATCGGCTCTGGATACAGCAGCCCCTTCCTCCCATCCCCTCACCTGCGACTGAGAAATTCAGAAACTTAGGACAGGATGGCCTTCCTGGAAGCTCACACACAGCTTTCTCTCTGGTGTGGCCAGACTCAGACCCGAGCAGATGGAGGAGCCCCACCTGCTCCCACAGAGCAGCCAAAGCCTTTCCTAGGCTGGGTAGACATCTGTTCAGACTGGTTTGCAGCTTATGGAAGTCCCAGGGTCCCCCAGAGGGATACAGGGTTTTGGCAATTTGGAAACCATTATTGAGTTTGACGATGCACCACCGTGAAGGAAAAATTCCTTCACAAGAAGTGGAGCGCCACTGAGACACCAGGCGGCAGGGAGAAGTGTCATCGTATAACACTCGCTCACGGGGCTGTGCTCGTGACTGACTACCTGACAAGGACGGTTAATAGCAGAAGGATTTATTTGGGCTCATGGCTTGGTGACGTGGGCCGTTGTAACAGGAAAGGCGTGGTGCTAGGCTCACTGCTGGGTTCAGCAGGAGACACGGAAAGCGGTGAGTGAGACTCCCACTTCGCTCTGCACCTTTTAATTTTTATTTAGAAACTTTTATTTATTTATTTATTTTTGAGGCAAAGTTTCTCTGTGTAACAGCGCTGGCTGTCCTGGAACTAGCTCTGTAGATCAGGCTGACCTCGAAATCACAGAGTTCTGCCTGCCTCTGCCTCCCAAGTGCTGGGGTTAAAGGTGTGTGCCACCGCCTGGCTTTTATTACGTGTGTGTGTGTGTGTGTGTGTGTGTGTGTGTGTGTGTGTATACATTCATGCATGTGCCATGGTGCATTTTTTAGGTTTAAATGACTTGTAGAATTATTTCTCTTCTACCACATGGGCCCCAAGGACTGAAGTCAGGTTGCTAGGTTAACCAAGCCTTTCTGCACTGACTTTGCTGCCCAGCGCCCTTTACTCAGCCTGTGGGATGGCGCCACTCCCATTCAGGGTGAGTGAAGACTGCCTCAAAGATACGGCACAAATGTCATCCCTGACTGTCTTAGTCACCTTTCTATGGCTGTGATAAGATACCACAGCCAAGACAACTTCCAGAAGAAAGTGTTTTTTGAGGGTTTGCTTACAGTTTCAGAGGGTTGGAGTCCATAACCAGCATGTTGGGGGCAAGGGAGTAGCTGGCAGGCATGGCGTTTGCCCAGCGAGCTTGCAGATCATTCGACCTAGTTTGGAGAAAAGAGTTGGGGAGTTCCCCAGAGGTTAAATAAGGTTCTTCAGAGCCTATCATATTCTAAGGCTCTTGCTTATGTTGCTGGATAATTAAATGACACATGGGGTAATGCTGCCCCCTCCTGGACTGTCTGGCACATAACTGACAATTTTTTTTGTCCCCCAGACAATAGACTTGTTTTCTCTGAGCTCGTTGCCCAACCAATACCTGTGGAACTATTTGGAAACGAATTTTTGCAAAGAAATTGACTCTGTGTGGAAGGTCTTTGATTACTGCTGTGACCGCTTGGCAAGTTATGACTCTACAGAGTTTCTATGTCATTGTGCTTGGCAGAGGTTGGGTGTGTATCCCCCTCAGATTCTTCAGTCACTCCCAGTCACCCCAACCCCTCTTTCCTGTGGAGTCATCAGTAATACCTCACCTCGATTCTGATGGCAGCAGTCTGAGGCTTCTTTCTTGTGCTAATGAATCTGGCTAAAGGTTGAGCTATTTCTTTTCAACAGTAAGCCTCCAGTTCCTTGGAGGGTCTCTGTTGTTCTCTGTTTTAGTGACCCCTGCCCAAACATTTCTTATTCCCTCCCTCCTGCTAGCTTCCAGTTCAATTTATGCTTTTTTAATGATTTCATAGGTTATAAAGTTAACTTGTGAATTTTAAATCTTTCCTGGTTTCTTAATAAAAACATGTTGGGACATAAATTTCTGCTTTTACTGTATCACATAAATGTTGGCACAGTGTAGTACGTCTGGCACTGTAAGCATTTTATTATGTTTGTGCAATTCTTCTAGATTTAAGTTCTTTGCAGGAGGTGAGAAAGTTGTTTTTTTCTTTTCTGAAGCAGGATCTTCCTAGGTATCCCAAGTTGGCATTAAACTCATGGTCCTCCATCACCTGCCTCATGACTGATGTCACAAATCTGTCTGTTACTCAAGAGTGTCTTGCCAGGGATAGTGGCACATACCTACAGTCCCAGCGCTCAAGAGGCTGAGTCAGGAAGATTCAGGTTTAACATCCATCTTGGCTACATAGCAAAACCATGTCTCCAAAAAATAAATAAAAGTAAATAAGTAAATAACCAGCAAAACAACAACAAAACCAGAAACAGCCACCAAGAGTGTCTTGGTTCATTTAGCGGCAGCAAAATGTGAGACTAATCAAATTACACAACTCAACTTTATTTATCACAGTTCTCGGGGCTGAGGTTTTGGTAGCTGGTGAAGGTCTGTAAGTTTCTTTGTAGTTTCCAAGATGGCCTTGCTACCTCCTCCGGCTGGAAGGAGCACTGTGTCCTTAGGTGGTGGGAGAAGCTGATTGTGCCTCCCAGGGTCTTACTAAAGTCCCCACCTATTAACACTACCATATTGGGGTGGGAAGATGTAATGGTTACATAGCCAGTTCTAGAGCAGCCAGGACTACATAGTGAGACCCTGTCTCAAAAGCAAAACGAATAGGTAAATAAATAAATAAAACCCACACTTAGAAGGGGGAATGTAGCTCAGTTGAAAAGTGCGTGCCTAGGGGCTGGAGAGATGGCTCAGTGGTTAAGAGCATTGCCTGCTTTTCCAAAGGTCCTGAGTTCAATTCCCGGCAACCACATGGTGGCTCACAACCATCTGTAATGGAGTTTGGTGCCCTCTTCTGGCCTGCAGACATACACACAGACAGAATATTGTATCCATAATGAATAAATAAATAAAAAATTAAAAAAAAAAGTGCGTGCCTAGAGCACACTAATAGAAGTTAAGCGGGGGGTGGGGGGCGGGGGGAAGAAAAGCTTGTCTCTAACATCACAAGACCCCGGATTCAGTTCCTAGAATCAAAAGCAAATAAATAAAAATGAAGGATTTAAGTTGTGACTTACATACAATCTCTCCCAGAAAATGTCCCACATACACTTGAGGGAAACATATTTGTTCAGAAAAGCTTCCCGAGGGCTGAACAGATAGCTCAGTGGTTAAGCACAACTTTTCTGCTCTTCAGGATTTGAGTTTGATTCCCAGCCCCCCTGTGGTGGTTACAAACATATATAACTCCAGTTCCAGGGGAGCTGATGGCCTCTTCTGACCTCCGTGAGTGCCAGGCATGCAAGCAGTGCACATACGTATATGCAGGCAAAACACCACACACACATAAAATGAATAAATCTAACAACAATATAGTACCATCTTAAGGTTTGGGGTTTTTTTGTGTGTTTTATTTAAAAATAATATATACTTACATTCTAGGATTTGAAATAGCAGTAGGCTTTTGTTAAGATACATAGTTGTTACTCATATTAAAACTACTTCATAGCCATGAGCTCCTAGAGGTGTGTGTAACCTGGAGCCCTAGAGCGAGGGTTTGTGTGAATCATGATTGCATCTTAATGCTGTTGAACGTGAATAGTGGACAAATGGGTTTTCAAAAGCAGTTCCCACAGTACACTACGATATGAACCACACTAATAATTAAATCAGTGTTTATTTTTTAAAAGAAGAATATAAATGGAAAATATCATGCATTTATAACCCCCAAACATAAAAGAAGAGAAAGATTGATGAAATTGGAACTATTAACATTAATTGTCAATCATCTTATGCAAGATTTAGAAGTTTTAAAACATAGTGGATTAAGTTTAGTCCAAATCACAATGACAAGGCCAAGATTCCGAGTTCATGATTTTCTTGTGTTCTAGGCTAGCAGAAATATTTTTGCTCCTTAATGATGTCCTAGTAATTTGTGAATAGGTAAATGTATTTGAAAATATCTCATTGCTATAATTAGATGCAACTATTTATGTGTCAGTACCCTGTGAATACTAAAGAATGAAGTGGTTTTGAAGATATTCCCCTTACAACAAAAATAGTCAATTTCAGAACCAAACCAAGAAAGCTAATCCTCTACCTTTCCACTGCATAAAATATGTAAAGATGCAGAAAGGAAGATAAACGACAGAGAATTTATCCCTGTGGAAGCTTCATCGTGGTTTTTATGTCGGAGTAAGCTAGCCAGAAGAGGGGTAAAGAAGAGTGTTCAAAAACTGTCAGAAAGACATGAAGTTGTTTGTCCTCAGGGAGAGCCACTACCTCATACCTCTGAGGGGCAAAAGCCCACAAAAGGAGTTCCCACTAATGTGAAAAGTGAAATATTTGCCCCTGTGTGCTTATGTCTGCAGCTTTGCAGATGGTGTCAGGAAAGAGGAATCCAGCCTCAAACATGCCCTGTACCTCCTTCTCCCCTCACTCCTAGGAACACCTTGCCTGTCGCCTTCTAAGTTGTGCGAATAACTTAGACTATGGAAATAAAATTTCCAAAGGTGTCCATACTTTTAACACAGGTCAGGAGAACTCAAGATACAGAGAATAAACAATGAAGGCTCCTGGGTAGTTACAGACAACATAAATATAAGCAACATGCTTGTGTACTTTAGGTTTATTTGTTTTTATTTATTTATTTATATGAGTGTGTTGCCTGCATTTTGTCTTTGCACCGTGTGTATGTTGCCCATGGAGATAGAAAGAGAGCATCGAAAGAGGGCATTGAATCCCCTGGAACTGGTCTTACAGACGGTTGTTAGCTACCCTGTGGAGGCTGTGAGTTAAACCTGGTCTTCTGCAAGAGTAACAAATATTCTAAACTGCAGCTCCATCTCTCCAACCCCCAGGACAAATGTTTGATATACACATGATTAGAGTATAAGCCAAGATATCCTAAGCTGAAGTAAGTAGCCCGTCTCAAGATGTTTACCAACTTCCTGGAGCCCAGGCACCATCAGCCTGCCAGCTCTGCACACTGAAATTCAGAGACCGTATAGGCAGGAAGAAAAGCTATAGGAGGCGGGCACGTTGGCACCTGCCTCTAATCACGGCACTGAGGAGAAAGAGACAGGTGAGTGTCTGAGTACAAGGATACCCTGGTCTTGGTTAACTTGGAGGAATGCAGAGGGCAAAGCCTGTGAGTGCTTTAAACAGCTATGTACTTTTAAATCTCTTAGATACTTTATATTTAATTCAATCCTCATTTAAAATAAGTTAAGCTGTTCTCTATTGTTATCAGTTCTGCTGTTAACCTTCTATTGCAAGCAGCTTTTTCTTCTTTCTGTCTTTTTACGAGTATAAATCTTACCTGTTGAGAGCCAGGACAGTCAAGCTCAGACCCAGCCCTCCAGGCCGATTCTATACTGTAGTCACACTTAATATACAGTCCCCAACTGTTCAGAGATCTGGGGAATATGGCATTTAAATATTTAACTATTAAAAAAACTTTTCATAACAAAAAGAGACAGGTTGCCTCCTAGCAGCAGCACTCTACTTCCTCCACAGAAGACAGAAGACAGATGGGCACAGAACAATGTCCATCTGCGCTTTGCTTAACTGCCAAGTGCTGACCACTGGGAAAAATTGCCTTTCTTCTAAACCGAAGATCTCCAGACAGTGGACAGAATCGTCGATATCGACAGCCTAGCTGCTCGGGTCAAGGTAGGCTTGTCTTCCTACAGATTTCTTAGCCCACAGGATCTTCTGGAGCCTGGCAGGCCTGCACTAAACAGCAGAAGGCAAATACGACCCTCAGCAACCATGGAGGACCCGGAGGAGTAGCTGTAGCTGCCAACCAAGTAAGTTCTCTGTCGTTTTTTTTGTTTGTTTGTTTTTGTTTTTGTTTTTTTGGTTTTTTGAGACAGGGTTTCTCTGTGGTTTTGGAGCCTGTCCTGGAACTAGCTCTTGTAGACCAGGCTAGTCTCAAACTCACAAAGATCTGCCTGCCTCTGCCTCCCAAGTGCTGGGATTAAAGACGTGTGCCACCACCGCCTGGCTTCTCTGTCATTTTTTAATCAATAACTCAAGTAAAATTTTATCCTTCTCAAAGATCTCTGATGCATTTTGACAGCTGAAAGGTTTTGTCACTTAAAAGGACAGCATCACCAAACAAATTTCAATAAGCAATAAGTTAGCAAAATTCTTTCTCACGCTGCCTTTCATAGTCTTAAAAATAATTTTTATTATGCAAAAATACCTGTCACAGTCATTCTGCTAGTGTTTAAAACTATGTTTACAGAAACCCCCAAAATTCTTGTGAGTTCCAGTGAGCCAAATTAAAAGATTCACCTTAAACAGATCAGATACACCCCCTCTCAATTCCCTGGTACTAAAATTATTTTTCCTAAACTTAACTTTGTCCTGTGTTCTGTTAATACCTTAAATAAGTCTAAGAGACACCCGCCATTTCCATACCACAAACACTGTACAGGAGCAAAGAGACCAGCTACTCCAGGATGTGACCAGCACCCAGCCTTCTCAGGTTCCCACCAAAGACGACACCTGGTCTAACAATGAGTTCCAGGGCTACACAGTTAAACCCTGTCCAGCTTTAATCTGGGTCAAACTTTTGGTAGCAGCCTATATACTTAAAGGATATTGATAAGGAAGCACTCTCCCTACCTCTTCTTGCCTTAGCTCTGGGTAGCAAGGCCATTCCTTTGCTAGCATTAGAGCCTATGACTTTGGGATTCTGGTGTCTACCAAAGAGTAGCCGAGACATCCAGCATTGTGAACTGAACATCTACTGGAATCTTCAACTTTCCATTGGTAGCTAGCCATTGTTGTCTAACGATGGACCACGGCTCGTGAGACATTCTAATAAATCCGCTTTCTACATACACGGAGAGATTGATTTTTACCAGTCCAGCTCATGCAGAGAGCCTTGAATAATGCAGCCTTGTTTTACGTCTCCTGCCCACTGAGGAAGATGAGCTGGCTAACATTAGTACTCATAGAGACAGTCTTCCTAGCCCCATGATTCTCTGCGTGTTCAACTTACCCGAAAGAGTACACTTTTTATTTTATTTTATTTTCAAGACAGGGTTTCTTTGTAGCTTTTTTTGGTTCCTGTCCTGGAACTAGCTCTTCTAGACCAGGCTGGCCTCGAACTCACAGAGATCCACCTGCCTCTGCCTCCCGAGTGCTGGGATTAAAGACGTGCGCCGCCACCACCACCCGGCTCAAGAGTACACTTTTATTATTATTTATTTCTCAAAGGTTTGCTATGAATTCTGGAAGAAAACTTCAAAAGTAATGGATCCAGCGTCCAGCCTTCTGGTGGGCCACATACCTACTGTTATGTTTTTTTTTGTTTTGTTTTGTTTTTTTAAATCTGGTCCCTGCGTTTCTCTCCTCTTCTCTGAAGTGCCTGTGACTAACAGGTAGAAATTCCTTCAGTTCACCTGACCTCAGTGAGAAGCCACAGAACAAGTATCTATCTCCTTTTGTGTTAATATTGTTAATATTCCGGGTACACATTGAGGGGAGGGCTGGGAAAACTAGTCACACAGTGTCCAGGAGGAAGAAGGGGAAGTGCCTACTGAGTGCAGGAAGAGAGCGGGCTCAGCAAGCGGAGCCCGTGGCAGGTGCTATTGAAATGCAAATCTCTGTAGAACTGGAAAAGGTCAGGGTCTGAGGTGGAAGGGAGTCAGGAACCATTGTGCTGTGCCTTTAAGCACACTGTAACCCAAAAGGCGGTGCACTTGTCACTCAGGCTTCACTAGCCAATCAGTACCTCCAGGCCAAACTGCCAATCAGAAGTGGTGGAGGGCCCTTCCGGGAGCCAGGCTGCAGGCTTAGGTTTGCGGAGGAGGTGGCGCCAGTGTATTGATGTGCTGTGCTTTGAGTGCTGCTGCAGGGAGCTGTAAGGGGGCCGGCCGAGGTCGGAAGCCACGACATGGTGAGCGAGGGGCTGCTGTCCCCAGATCGGGAAGATCAGATGGGGAGTTGCTGGAGCCGGGGTGGCGTGGCCTCCCCAGAGCTGGATGGGAATCTACAGCCGTATTCCTTGTCCTGTGAGCTCCCACGCGGCCCCTGCTACTCCCTGGATGCAGGCACAGTCCTCTAACTTTGCTCTGTGGGCTGCACCCATGCAGAGCGTTGGGAGCAGGGAGCTGTGTGTGGACCCGTGTTTGGAGTCAACAGCGACTCGCTCTTGGTGCAGCCATGGAAGGCAGGTAGCCTAACCTGGAGAGGCATAATTTCTTCAGTATCTTTTAGACGTTCAGCACTTTGCATTTAACCTTTACGTGTACGGTTCATTTACAGGTGATTGTGGGGAGGTTGTAAAAGGCATCTCGTGTGTTGGGTAGCGCTGCACAGCTAGCTGTGATGTAGACGAGTAGGACAGGAGAAAGGAAGAATCTCTTCTGCTCTGGGAGAGTGGAAGAATGTCTGCTAAAGTGAGACTTTCCAGACTAGGGCCCTGTCTGCTGGACTGGAAAGGCAGAGGTGGGAAATCCTGTGCTGTCTGAGACACTTGATCTCACCTAGTAGGGAAGCTGCTAATACTCTGAAACCCAGTTCAGTGACCCTTGCTATTGAGAGACTGGCAAGGTTTAGCAATAGGAGTACCAGCTTGCAGATGTCTACGGGCCTAGACATCTTCCGTGGAGAGCCAGCAGTATAAAGGGAGTAGAAGTAACCAATGAGAGAGAAGTTGCAGTCATCCAAGCCCTTTGAAACTGAAGCTCCATGTTTCTTTGACAGAGCTTTAGGATTTGATGTTTTTCCTACTGTGCTTTGGTCTCGCCTCGGGCCTGTCTTCCCTCGTTGTATCTCCATTTCTCTCATTCAGAATATGAATGGTGCGCTGTGCTGTTGTGTGTAGGAAAGATGTAACCTGTTTTCTGAATTTACAAGATGTTACTGTCAAGAGATTGTCTGCGCGTCTGGAGAGACCTCGGACATTTGGATGGTGGAGGGGTTGTTGCAGATTATGAGGATCGTTGAAGTGACTAAATGCATTGTCCTCATGGTGACCATTCGTCTATAGTGACCGGGGTCAGTGTATAGTTGATTGAATGTAAAACCTCCCAGATGATGATGGGTTTGAACACGTCTCTTTGGTGACTTTCTTTCAATTGTTTGTGAACCTTTTATTTGGAAGAGACTCTCTGGATAGTTTTCCTCGTTGGGAAAGTGATATGGGTATTTATAATGTCAGTTGATTTCCTGTTCTTTGTGTCTGCTGTGTTGTAGTTGATACTACTCAGCCAGCTTCCTTCTTGTGCTGCCGCGGCTTCACCACTGTTAAAGACTCTATCTCAATACACCCAGCTGGCCCCAGAACGGCCTCAAACTCACTGATCCCAAGTGCTGGGATAAAAGTGGGCCAAAATTCCCGACTTTTGTATTCATCTTTTTGTGTAATGTGCCTGAAATGTAGGTTTTTGACCATGTCAAACATATGCTGTTTTACTGAGCTTCACTTATACCGTTAATTTTTAAAACTTCACAAAGGTTATCATTTGGTTTCCCAGGATAGCCTGTATTCATGGCAAAAATACTGCCTGAGTCTTCTGATTCACTGGGCAGCACATACATCACCTTCTTCCTCTATGTTGCTTTTGTTTTGAAAGTTTTTTTTTTTTTTAATGAAAATGTGTGTTTTACCTGTAAGCATGGAAATATACCACATGGGTACCTGATCTTCACAATGATCAAAAGATGGTTTCAGAACCCCTGAACGTGGAATAATAGATAGTCGTGTTCCCGAAATAAATAACTACTATTTGAGCCCGCCTGTATGCGATACCAGGAAGAGCTGTAGTAATGAGATATCTCTTCTCCTCATTTATGATCTACATTTAATTATCAAATGCTTTCATCTCTCCTTTTGTAACTGTTTCAACATAGAGTGACTTTTAGTAAAATCTTATTGACGTTACAGTTTAATGTGGGCAGGTTTAGGTTTTTGGAAGTTGAATACAGATTGCTTTATAGTAACGTCAGTAAGACCATGTGAGTTATTTCTTTCTGTGTTGTGGTGCTTTTTTTTTTTTTATAACTGATTTTGGCATGGGAGACAAGGTCTTAGTATGTACTTCTGGCTGTCCTGTATGCTGGCATTCAACTCCAAGGCAAATATTCCTGCCTCTGACTTCTGACTGCACATTAAAAGGTGTGAGCCAATATACTTAAGTCTGTCCATTTTATTTTTCTGTTGTGTAGGTAACAGTTGTTCATACAATTTCACTCCTATATATTCTGTACCATTGATTTTTTTTACTTGTCTCTGTATGTTTCTAATAGGCATTTCTCTTGCGAGATGATATCCCATTCACAGCATAAAGAGATGAAATAGGTGAAGCTCCTGTTCAGTTTCCTTCCAAAGTGACTTGGTGATTACATATAATGTCTGAATAAGTGCAGGGAGTACCAGAATTATATGACTGTATTGTCAAAGAAGTGTACATTTTCAGTGTTGTCAGTATCATGCTCCCTGTCGTGCACATGTGTGGACATTTCAGAACGCAGTGACCTATGATGATGTGCATGTTGACTTCACTTGGGAAGAGTGGACATTGCTGGATCCTTCCCAGAGGAATCTCTACAAAGATGTGATGCTGGACACCTACCACAGCCTCAGTATCATAGGTAAAACTGAATATTCCATCATGCTTTTAAATAAGGGGACAACTCTTCCTTGGTTTTTGATGTTGTTATGTAATTTGATTGAGAAAGAAGAATGAGGTGAATAAATCAGGCATGGCTCTAAGGTAAAACGAATATGGGAATTTACATTTTGCACAATTTTGCATAACATACCATACATTTTTACTCTATTGTAGGATACAGCTGGGAAGACAGTAATATTGAGGAACATCGTCAAAGTTCTAGAAGACAAGAAAGGTAATTACCATGTGCAGGATGATACAAGTGTGCCTCTGGAGGAATTGTAATATGTCCTGGGGTTTTTACACTAAACAGCAGTGTAACTAAGCACAGATTGTGCATTGATGATTCTTGAATTCTCAGAAACCGTATACCTCAATTTCAAGTAGGTGAATTGCATTTGCAAGGCATTCTTTTAAGAAAGAAGACAAGAAACTGTGCCTTAACAGATATCACCATTTGAATCACGGCTCAGTGAGAGCTGTTCTGTAGAACTTTCAGTGCATTAATTTCTCACCACTCATAATATAAAGTGTATACATAATGAACAGGTGATAAGTACATCCCTCAAACCTTCTAATAAGCACACAACCCATAGAGAAGCTAGTGTTACTCATAATCTTGCTGTGACTGTGCTGAGTTTAGAGGGATGGGCAGTTAGGGTCAAGAGCCAAGGTGCAGTTGTTATGGAGAAATCCTACTCTCCAATTACATGTGTATATTTGAATTTTTCTATTTTTTTACAAATACGCAAAAATTTTCATATAGAAAATATTCTATAAGTATAACTCTTTAATAAAGCATCTGCCATCACAGGCATCTTCAAAGATGCAAAAGAACCCATTATGAATGAGAACAGCATGAATATAAACCTGGTGATAAAACCTTGAGATCTGATTCCTCTTTACAACTGGTCTAAATTGTCAAATTTATTCATGGAGATACAAAGATTCAGTGGTTGTATTAAATGTGGTAAAGCTTTTCTATATCTCAACTATTTTTGCAGGCCTGAAGGAAATCATCCTGGAGAGAAACCTTCTGTATATAACCAATGTACTAAAGCCTTTGCATACGACAGACATCTTCAGAGACATCAAAGCACACATCCTGCCGAGAAACCCTACGAATGTAATCAATGTGGTAAAACTTTTGCACGAAATTGGCCTCTTCAAAATCATAAAAGAACACATACTGGAGAGAAACCCTACGAATGTAATCACTGTGGTAAAACTTTTGCTCATCCCAGTGCTCTTCAAGTGCATAAAAGAACACATACTGGGGAGAAACCCTATCAATGTAGTCAGTGCGGTAAAGCCTTTGCATGGCCCAGTTATCTTCAGAAACATAGAAGAACCCACACTGGAGAGAAACCCTATGAATGCAATCAGTGTGGTAGAGCCTTTGCACTACGAGGTAATCTTCAAAGGCATAAAAGAACACACACTGGAAAAAAACCCTATGAATGTAATCAGTGTGGTAAAGCCTTTGCTTATCATGAATGTCTTCAAAGGCATAAAAGAACACACACTGGAGAGAAGCCCTATCAATGTTATGAATGTGGTAAAGCCTTTATACGTCACAGTAGTCTTCAAATGCATAAAAGAACACATACTGGAGAGAAACCCTGTGAATGGAATCAATCTGGTAAAGCCTTTACACAACAAGGTAATCTTCAAAACCATGAAACAACACATACTGGAGAGAAACCAAACATAATCAATGTGGTTAAAGTCTTTGCATTCATAAGCAATCTTTAAATTCGTCAGAAAAACATGAAACTTTCCAGATTCTAACAGACTAAATATTGTAACTGTAATTCTGCCTTGTTACCTATTTTGTGTTGTGTAATTTTACTATGTTTCAGTTAAAACCTTCCTCTTTATTAGACAGAAAGGGGAGATGATGTGGGATTCCCTGATAAGGAAACTAAATTTTAATCTTGGGCTCATACATCTTCTTCCCCCAATCCTAAACTTTAACAGAGCTCCAGTCGTTGGCTGCAACAGAGTTCTGCAGCCAACAGGTAACACTCAAGAAGTTCTTTGTGACCCTCACAAAATAAAACAAAAGGTGAACCCACACAAATCTGTTTAATTTAGCAGGTAAGCTATTGAAAATATTAACAGTAAAAGTCTTAGAAAAGGCAGAATAAAAATTCACTATAATCCTCTGATTCTTTAGAATTCATTACAGATACATCATGTTTAACTTTGAAAAGCTAATAAATTATAAGCATATTTAAAAAAGCTTCCAAATTCCAAATAAAAGCATACATGCTCTCAAAACCAGATGTGATATGGATATTCTAGGTTTTATGATAAAAGACATAAAAGGGTGGAAAAATATGTAACCTCTTCACCGCATCTCAGGGCTCATTTCTGACGCTTCTTTTTTTATGTTTTAATCGTTTTCATTGAGCTATGTATTTTTCTCTACTCTCCTCCCTTCTTTTCCCATACCTAAGACCAGTCCAAGAGAGGGAGACGTGATAATATAAGCACAGGGGTCAAGACAGTGATGGTGATACCCACAGAAACAGCTGGCCTCAGCTGGTCAGAGCTCACTGACTCAGGACTGATGGCACGGGAACATGCATAGGACCAAACTAGGCCCACTGAATGTCTTCAAAGGCATAAATTTATTTATCCCTATTGCTTGAACTGGCATCTCTGAGCACATTCTCTTTGGAGGGGTACCTTGCTCAGCCTAGAGATAGGAGTGAGGGGAGGACCTTGGTCTTTCCTTGATGTGATGTGTTAGAGTTTGTTGACTGCCCAGGGGAAGCCTTTCCCTTTCTGAGGAGTGGATTGGTGGTTGGATGGGCTGAAGGGAAGGGAGGAGGGGATGAAGTGGACCGGGGATAACAGTGTAAAATGAGAGAAGATTGTATTTTATTTAAAAGATTCTTAATAAAGATAGATTTATAACAGCTTCTCATTGTCGGTGTTGTGTAGATCTGAAAGAGCCTATAATTACCGCGTAGGCTATGTCAGTCCACCTCTTCCTCCCGTCTGGTTTTTGATTTTGGAGTATAGAAAGAAAGTCTGACCTATGCTTATTATTCTGTTTTCTTTGAATTTCTTGCCTGCAGAGAGACATTTGATTCTGGGGGCTGCTGAGCTAAACCAACACTTTAAAGGTATTTTGCCTTAAAAATTTAGGTCTAAGGACATGTTACTTTGGAAAAAAGGCTCTGCTTTTGTTTCCACAGAAGATGAGAACCTGTGGGTATTGGACTCTAGCGTCCAAACACCGAGAAGGAGTCGTCCCCAGAGACCATCTCACACACCACAGCCGATGCAAAAGCATGAGGATTTTATTAATTCTGTCATGACAGGGTCCCCCAGCATTCGGGAAGCCGAGGGACCGAACCAAAGCATACGTATATGGGTAATTGTTCAGGAACTGAGTACGTGCGAGTGTAGCTGTTAGGTCCTTGGTTCCCAGGGGAGGAGGGGAAGCACTATGGCACAGAGGCTGAGAGGATTCAGAATTGTCAGAAATGGCTTCAGAATTGTCTTAAAGTCTTACATGGGTTCCCACCAGGCTAATGTGGTTTGATAGAACAAGACTCACCAAAAGGTCTCCATGAATACTAAAAGTACTTCACCCAGCCAACCACAGCAAGCAAGCAATTTGAAGAAAACAATGCCCAAATTCCCAAAAGGATTCTTTATAAATGTTTGTTTTCCTTCACAGGAGGATATGATACAGGGATGAATGTTTTGCATTGGTATGGATCCTGGTCTATATACAGTTTTCTTTATTTTTTTTTTAAAGATTCTCTCCTTTTTTTAAAAAAAAGATTTGTTTATTTATTATGTACATAGTGTTTAGCCTCCATGTATGCTATATACAGGTTTACAGTTGATTTTGTTACACTGTGTATGTTTTTTTTTTGCTTTTGTTTAAGGTATTATGTTTGTATAGCTCATTTAAAGATGTATAGTTAAGAAATAGATTAATAGATTGTCATTTATAATAAGCAAACTTATAGTCACGTTAGTAAGCTTTTGTAGGTATATAGAGATGTATTTCAGTTGGATAGATAATATTCAGCACTCCAGAATCTTCAGCATAAGGCCTTTAAAGGTTTTAAGATAGGCTTATGTGGACAGTGAGACATGTCTGCTTCTGGCAGCACCATTTACTCTAGAGACGTTGATGGACATTGAAGATGTTCCATGTAGTTGCCTCCATTAACTGAATGAGACATCAAAATTCCAGAGATTTGCCTGGTGGTGGTAGGGCACTCCTTTAATCCCAGCACTCGGGAGGCAGAGGCAGGCAGATCTCTGAGTTCAAGGCCAGCCTGGTCTATAAGAGCTAATTCCAGGACAAGCTCCAAAGCTATAGAAAAGCCCGGTCGCAAAAAAGCAAAAATATATTCCGGGGATTCCTTCAACTCTTTGGATTTTGCATCCAGTGTGTGTTGAGCCTTGTCACCAGTCAGTATCTATGAGGCAGGTTTCCCCTTGTATGTGACACACATATGTACATTGGTTTGCTAAACATCCGTTTTGTACTTTTTTCCTAGTTAATACTTATTGAAATAATACAATTGCATCATCATTCCTTCCCTTTCCTTCTCCAGTCTCCTCTCACATACTCCCCTCTTCTCATGCCCCCTTTTCATTCATTTTTGTTTTTCTCTCTCCTAAATATAGTAATACAGCCAGCTCAGTATAATTTTACATGTGTCTCTATGATCTCAGGACTGATCCATGGGATTAGCTAAACACTGAATGAGATGCTGCCCTGGAAAAGACCATTTCTTCTCTTCTCAGAGTTCCCCACTTGCCCATTGTTCTTTATGGAGATTGGAGGCCCCAGGAGCTTTGTACCTTTCGTGGCTTTGAGTCTGTAGTGTCATCTTTGTTCAGGTCATCTCTAAGCAGTCATGTCAGTAGAATCAAAAGGTGTAAGTGTTCTGACCTTTCTAGGAGATACAGTCTCACAAGGAAATGTCATCTCCTTTCCCTGTATCTGAGTGTTAAGTATCTGAACTTAACGCTCTAGTATATCCAAGGTGGTTTATGTGAATTTAGATTAAAAAAAAATATATTAATAAATTTTGAGTCATATGTTAATGCTTGAATATAGGATTTCATACCAGGTGTTAGAGGGGGAGAGAGAGAGAGATAGAGTGATGGGGGAGGGCAGGGTAGTAGTTACCACTAAGAAGGGGAAGAGAAAGAGAGAGTGTGGAGAGCGTGTTCAGGTTTTAAAGGCTGCCTAGGGCATGTGCACAAGGACTTTCATAGGTTTAGCTACCTCATGCATAGATCACGTGACTATGCAGTGAATCTCCAGGGATGGGAGCCACAGGCTGGTGCGAGCACCTTGCAGGTGCTAGGAATTGAAACCCAGATCTTCTGGAAGAGCAGCAGGTGTTCTTAACTCTGAGCCACCCCGTCATCCTGAGAACAAAGGCTTTGAAGTCATTTGTTTATTATGTTTTGAAATTCTTGGTGTCTATTGTAAAGCTTCCTTGTTCATCTCTTTCCTTCTTTTAGTTTGTTGAACAAAGGTCTGTGCCAAGTTACGCGTGACATTATGGTGCCAAATGCATGGCTTGAAGCACATTGAGAAGTGGAAGGATTGCTCTCACTGTGAGAACACTAGTAATTCTTTTTAAAACAGTTTTGTGGTAGATTGTATAATCTACATTTTTATCTTTCCTATATACTCCCTTATTTTTTAAGTAGTTTCAATAATCTTCTCTTTCATCCTTTCATATCTATATCCCTTTTCCTCCTTTTTTCCTTTTTTAAATTTTTACTTAATTTTTTTTTTTTTTGAGACAGGGTTTCTCTGTAGCTTTGGGGCCTGTCTTGAAACTAGCTCTTGTAGGCCAGGCTGGCCTCGAACTCACAGAGATCCACCTGCATCTGGCTCCCGAGTGCTGGGATTAAAGGAGTGCGCCACCACTGCCAGGACTTTTTCTTTTTTTTTTCAAAACAAGATCATATCTGTATCTTCCCTTTTTTTCTTTTCAAAACAATAACCTTGAATCTAATTTCCTTTGTTTAGCTTTTTCTCTGACCATTACCTATAACAACTTGTAACCAATACATTAAACAAAGACAAACATCCATAATCTATTTTTTTGGGAATGTGGGCAGAGTTTTCTGGGCTACATTCTGCTGACTCAGGGCACTGATAATCTTATGGGAACAAAAAGAAAATTTAGGATTCTGGTCAAGTCCTGACTGGAGTATTGTGTGAGGCTGGGTCATCTCAGTCAGCAGTCTTGAAGCTCTTGTGGATGTAGAACTCAGAGGAAACTGCAACAGAGGTGCCCTAAAACATTGGATCATCCACTCCCACTGTTGATTTTTCAAGGGTTTCTCCTTGATCAAACATTATTTTTCTTAACCAAAAATGAATCCACGTCCTCTCATTAACTGCGGAAACAAAAGTCAAACCTCTTGTCCAAAGTAACATATCCTTTGACTTAAATTTTGAAGTCAAGTCATTTTCAAAATATATAAATCCACAAGCATTTATAATCAAATGTCTCTTAGCAGCTGTTTTTCTTCCCCAGCAGTCGAACAATTCAAAGACAACACAGTAACATAGAGTATCTAGATTGTCTGTGTATTTTCCATGTTTACATGGAAGCTAACTGGGATAGATGGGAGTTGGGTGCGCTAGTTTTTCTCCCAAACCCAGATAGGTTAGGTTTGGTTCCAGCCTTGGCCTGCGCCAGTAGCTAAAATGTCTCAGGCAAATAGTTTTTTTGTGAACTCATGCCCCAAAAAGCTGGGTGCCAATTGGAACACAATTAATCAAAACTCAGAGACAGAAACTGGGGTTCAACCTGAAGACCCAAAAAGGAAAGAAGCCAGCAAATGGCTTCTTACCTCAACCTCAGTCCAAAATGGTGATCCTGCCTCCAGAAATCTGAAAATGAGACTTTCTGTTGAGAGTTGTTTCCTCCTGTTTTATATTCCTCTCTAGGGCTGGGAATAAAAGCATGTACCACCATGATTAAAGTCATAGATCCCCTGGTTTCTATAGCAACTACTGTGGGAACTTGTCGTTGTGGATACTGGGATTAAAGGTGTGTGTTACCATTATCTGTTCTGTATGGCTGATCAGTGAAGGTGTTCTGTTCTCAGATCATCAGCCAAACTTTATTTATTACAATTGAAACGCCACTACAGTACTCATAGAGACAGGCTTTCTAGCTTCATTCTCTCTAAATATTCAACTGACACGAAGACTACACCTTTTTAGAAAAGAGTTTGTCCTGAATTATAGAAGAAAACTTCAAAAGCAATGGAGCCCTCATCCAGCCATCATTCTGGTGGGAGACAGATCGATCATTTTGTTTTCTTATCCGGTCCCCGCGTTTCTCTCCTGTTCTCTGAAGTGCCTGTGACTAACAGGTAGAAATTCCTTCAGTTCACCTGACCTCAGCGTGAAGCCACAGAACAAACATCTCCTTTTGTGTCCTCAAATCTCTCTTTAAAGTTAATATTCCGGGTACCCCTCCACTCTAGGGACAGGGAATCACTCCACTCCACATTGAGGGAAGGGCTGTGTCCGTGAGGAAGAAGGGGAAGTGCCTACGAATGCGGGAAGATAGCGGGGCCAGCAATTGTAGCCAGGGACAAGTGCCACTGAAATATACGTCTCTATGAATCTGGAAAAGGGCTGGGTCTGGGGTGGAAGGCGGGGTCAAAGACGGTTGCGTGTGTTTGTAAGCACAAAGTAACGCTGAGAGTTGCTCTGTCACTCAGGTCTCGCTAGCCAATCAGAGCCTCCAGACTTAACTGCCAGTCAGAACTATACACTCTCAGGCCTCACTAGCCAATCAGGGCTTCCAGTCCTAAACGGTCTGAACTGGTGCGAGGTTTTCCGGAAGCCGCGTTGCTGCTTGGATTGCAAAGGAGCCGGCGCCAGTGTTTTCGCGTGCAGTGG